ATTAATTGTGAGCTCGCTTAATATTGGTTAATATAACTAACTTTTTTGTGTTAGAATTTTTTTAATCTGACTTTTTTAGTCTCTTTTGATTTTTGTTTTGTGATTTTTTAAAACTTTTATGAGAAAAAAAATATAATAATTATGAATAAAAAGTAATATTTTGTGTTATTAATTTTTATAATCAATTTTATTTTTTATGATTATTTAATCCCAACATAAATGCCAAACCGAGGGGCCATGAGGTGGGTAAGATCAGGAGTGGATCTACATTCTTTATCCAGATGACACATGGCTAGAGTTTAATGGCTGAGATGAAGGCACGTAATATTGGATAAATTACATTTTGGCCCCTAAAGTTTTACCTATTTCTCACTTTGGTCCTTTAATTTTAATTTTTTATACTTTGGCCTTTCATGTCTATAATCCTTCCCACTTTGGTCCTGTAAGTTTGATTTTTTTTTTTTTACTTTGACCCTTTATGTTTGTAATCCTTCTTACTTTGGCCCTTCATATTTGCAATTCTTCTCATTTTACTCCTAGATTAATTTCTATCCAAAAAATAATACAGGTGTTTGAATCAATATATTTTCTCTTTTTTTTTTCGTTTTTAGTAAACTTTTTTTCTTTTTCTAATTAAATTTGTTTGTTTGTTTTTTTTTTTTTTTGTGCATCTAATCTAGAAGCATTTATCATGTAATAATGTTTATGAATAAGTGCCGTTTTGGGAAGTTTTGTAAAAAGTCACGTTTTTGAGCCAAGGCCAAAAAAGTCGGCTGCCAAAAACGCAACAAAAATTCATTTAGAGAGAGCAAAAACGCAAGGGTTAAAATTACAAATTGGGGTCTACGATAAAAAAGTAAAAAAATAAATTTCTTATGTTGGGTAAGGGTATTTTGGTCATTTTAATTTGATTTGACACCATAAACAAATATTAAACCAAAAAGCCCAAAGTCAGCTTTTTACCAACTTCCTAAATCATTTTTTAAAAAGCTAAAAAGCTTGGTAAAAAGTCAAAAGTTAGTTTTTTACCAACTTCTCAAAACATTGAAAAACAAATTCATTAAAGAGTAATTTTTTTGCTTTCTATGTTTTATTTTTTTGCATTTTTAGTGAATTTTTTACATCATACATGGAGTTGATGTGTTGATGATGTGGCAAATTCTATTAGTTTTTTGGATAAAAGTTAGTTTAGGAGGAAAGTGAGAAGAATTGCAAACATGAAGGGTCAAAGTGGAAAAAATTAAACTTAAAAAATCAAAATGGAAAGAATTACAAATATAAAGGGCTAAAATAAAAAAAAATTAAATTTAAAGGCCAAAAGTAAAAAATGAACAAAATTATAGGGGGACAAAGTATAATTTACCCAACAAAGTAAATAGAAGTTGTGATTTGAATACGGGCCCATTTTTGTCCTAAACGGACAGATCAATTTCTTCCTTTTGTCAATTCCAATAAATTAAGGGGGAACTTACTAATAAGTCCCATGTAACAAGTTTAAAACCTAATTAATCCCAAAATAAAATATTTGCACCAATTAGTCCAACATATTTTTAATTGTTCTCAAAAAATCTTTTTTTTTTTTTTTATAATTTATAGACACTGTTCACATCTTACTACCGTCGGACTTCCGTTTAACAGTCGCCGGAGACTCACCGGAATGTCTAGAATATTGTCGGAAAAAAAAAATTACAAAACATGTTATGAAACTGTAAAATTTTACAGTTCTAAAGAATGTTATAAAACGGCAAAATTTTACAGTTTTAAACCATGATTCATTCCAGTACAAAAAAAAAAATTTGAAACTGCAAAATTTTACAGTTTTCACCGCCTGTAACTAAAACTCGAAAACTGCTTGTTCAGAATTCGAAAATTTTCTCCATTAGAACAGAAAAACAGAAGTGTATAGCAGAGAGAGAAGAAAAAAAAAAAGAGATCGAAGGGGAAAGACGGATATCTAACCAAATCTGTGTAGATCTACTCAGATCTGATGTAGATCTGAGTAGATCTATATCAGATCTAAGTAGATCCATTCATCTTCTTCGTCGGAAAATATATCATCTTCTTCGTCGGAGTTGATTTCAATGCTTGGTGGTTATCAATAAACCCCGATCAATGGAGAAAGATATGATCACCGGTGGTCCTCTTCCATGACAAACACGGTAACAAAAAAATGTAGAAAAAAAAACGAGAGAGGAAGGGAAGCAAAAACAGAAAGAGAGAGGAAAGGACTTTTGGGTGTAGTGAAAAAGTTATGGGATTAAATGGAGATCACATGTTTCCCATGGGACCTATGGGTAATTTCCCCTAAATTAAGTAATTAATTGATAGGCTCACAAAATAAATAAATAAATAAATTGGTAGGCTCGCCAGTAAGAATTAAAATAAGAAATAAAAAATAAAAAATGGAACAATGATAAATGATAAATGAATAAATAAATAACATTCACATAAAATATTTAACACCATATAATTTATAATATAATCATAATAATTCCTAATTTTTATTTTAGACACACTATAAATTTATCATCTTTAACTTTTATCAGAGAGTAAACATTGTTGGAAAAAACTGATTTTTTGAATAATTGTTAAAGTGTTAAAAAACAGTAACAATCAGCTTGCTTGGTTCCATTTTTCTAAAAATATTTTTCAGAAATTTTCACTTTCTTATTTTCTATTTTTTTTTTGTTTTTACAGAATTTTTTTAATATTTTAAGCAATTTTTTTACTTTTTAGACACACCTAACATAAATACACTTAAAAAGTAAAAAAAATTATAAATTTTTTTTTTTAAAAATTCACTAAATACCAAAAATATAAAAAAATACAAGAATTTAGTACATTTTTTTTTGTATTTTTTTGTATTTATTAATTTTTAAAATATTTTTTCATAAATTTTTTACTTTTTAGATACATCTACGTAAGGTGCATCTAAAAAAGTAAAAAAAATGTTTAAAATTTTAAAAATATTCACTAAAAACAAAAAAATACGAAAATTAAAAAATTCAATTTTCAAAAAATTTAATCCAAAAAACTCAAACTAAATACTGAATATGACCTAAAGTTTCAAATTAATTTTTGTAGGATTTATTTGGAAGGTGGATTGGCTTCTTAATTTTTTAATTATTTTAATTTGGGGCTAAAAAAATTCGTTTATGAAGGACTTTTGACTTTTTAAACTTTTTTGTGAGATAAAGAATGTAATGATTATAGGTTGAATGTAATATTTTATTTTATTAAGTTAAAAAGCCTATTTTATTTTTTTTATTGCTATTTTAACTAAAAAAACCCAAATCCTCGCTTCCCAAAAGAGCCCTTGTTAAATTGAATTGAATGAAAAAATGTAACTTGAATATATAAGAGAAGCAACGCTACATTTGCGACCAACCACAATGTCACTTAGCAGATTTTGTGGAACTGAACCCTTAATTATATGAATTGGTTAAACACACTAACCATGCCTTCTACAAACTAGGAATTCTCTTTCATCTCAGCCATTAAATTTCTTTCCAGCCAGGTGTCATGTTTTCATTAAATCTGGACACGATATGGACTCCACAAATCTGGACAGAGGATCCAAATCTGACGAGGAGCAGCGGTGAATGGAGAAAAATAATGGAGGGATGACAGTGTATCGGGAAAAGGAAGGGTTGTGATGGAAAACAACGATAAAAGAAGAAATTGGCTGTCAACTGTAATCAAAGAAAAAAAAATAGTTAAATTGTTTAAAATGTTCTTTCTCCGTTAGTTAGTTATGCCTAATGAAAATAAACATATAATAAGGCCCAGTTTGACATAATCTAAAAAAATTAAAAAGTCAAAAAGTTAATATTTTATTTAAGTCACATCATTTCTCTATCACATCACTTCAAATTCAACTCATATTTTATATTTTTTCGTAAAAAATAAAAAATTATACTTATTTAGATTATTCTAAACAACCCTTAAGAATACTAAAAATATGTCCAAAAATCATTAAATGTTCAAGTATCATTACTTTTTCAACAACCAATCAAATTTTAGTTACATTTTTAGTAAAAAGTATTAACATCCATAGAATTATCCCATAAAAAAATTGTCCTCTTATCTCTTTGTAGCTTCTTGTTAACTTGAACCAGCAAGCCCCACTGGAAGACAACAGCCATAATCAAAATAACAACAATCTTCCCCAGTAGGATACTGTTGACACCAAAAAAATAAATATTTGTTGATTATGACTTGTTAATTATAATCAAATCTCATTTAATTGTGATTTATCGATTATAATCAAATCTAATTTTATTGAATGTCATCTGTCAATTTCAATCTGTCAATTCATATCATGACCATCTTTAAATATTTGCTATGGCCATATTTATAATATTGTAAATATTATTATTATTATTACTATTGCTAGCAGTGTTCCGAAACTTGTGCAGCAGGTAAATAGCAACATGGGTTATGGCATCATGGCACTTATGGTAGGAACATGGGTCATAGCATCATGGCACAACTAGAAGAACGTGGGGCTTGAAAATTGGAGGCAAGTGTGCAACTGCCTATGAGTTGGTGCTTGAAGGAAACTGCTTGACAGCTTTATTGATGCCTATAAATATGACGAGGGAGATGCAGCAGAAGGCATCAATCAATCAAACACACAACTCTTTATGAATTAAGAATAATTTAACTTAGTTAGCCATAGTTTCTGTATTTAGGAGTAATCTGTGTAAAATTCAGCCTACCAAATTTTCCTTTGTCAATTGTCATATACATTGAGCTTATAATTTAATTCTTGTAATTAAGTGACAAGTTTACTTATTCTTTAATCGATTTTCATTTTATTCACATTTGTTTCTTCATATTACAATCTCTAAAAAAATCCTTAAATCTGTCGAGGCATAAGACATTCAAACTACAATTGCTTGATTTGTTGTTGTTTGTAAACTTCTAAATTTTCTGTCGAATCTCGTCTGTCGATATAATCAAAATAACAACAATCTTCCCCAATAGGATACAAAAAATTTCAAATAGATCTCCAAGTCAAAACCATTGGAATTTTTATTTTATGCATTGCAAAATTGGGAAAACAATAACTGAACGAAACAAAATTAATTAGTTATTCGTCAAAAAAACCAACAAAATGTGTGAACTATTAGAAAGCGTATCCCAAAAAGTGCCGAATGGTTGTTCAGGGATCGAGTTTGGCACTTCCAAGAAAGAGATGATAATCATAACTCCATGACAAAACATCATGAAAGATAATTTATATGCATCTAATGCACTTAGTTCGGATACTCTCCACAAGGAAAGGCAGGAACATCATATTGATCCAAGATAGAGAATGAGCACAGATGGACCTTATCGTGGACGAGCTTCTCACTCACTTCATCTTTGCCTCGGTAAACAAAACGTGACGATTCACGCGTGGGTCATATTTCCGGAACTCGAGTTTTGTTTGGATCCTCTTGGGGTTCTTCCTCTTCACATAAAAGAAACCGGTCCCAGCAGCAGAAACAAGCCTGATAAACAACGATGCAGTCTTCTTCTTCTGACCCATATTTCTTAATTTGAATAAGAAATAGCCAAACAAGTCAACAGATAGTCCTGGCAAAGATATGAAACATACATAACAAATAACTATTTTTTACCCAACAAAAAAAAACACAATTAGAGTTTACCCCAAACTATTTCATTAGAGATGTTTTTGCCACATCACGTGCCACAAAGCATATATGGTGGAGGCTTTCAAAGCATCCATTATCAATAGAGATTTCATGTTTATTGTTTGAAAATATAAAGCATCCATTTACGCTTTTATATCCATTAAAGAAAAGCCCCACTTAAAATGAAGGTTTTATATTCTTAAAAATAAGATTTAAAATATCCAATCCAACTAGTTGCGAATTTTGTATCCTGTCATCTCCTTCCTGTGTGGCATGTGGCGTGGCAAAGAAGACCCTAGATTCTGAAATAGTTCAATAACAACTCCAATTTTGGGTATTTTATCAAAATGACTGAAAATTATAGTAAAAACTAACAACTAGGAGCAGAGGTTATGAAGGCTTTATATTCTTAAAAATAAGAATTAAAGCCTCCATTCCAACTAATTAAAAATTACTATCCTGTCATCTCCATCCTGGGTAGGATGGCGTGGCAAAGACAACCATAGATTGTGAAATAGTTTAGTCCCAAGTTCACTTTGGGTATTTTTTCAAAATGACAAAAATTCTAGTAAAAAACTACTAACAACTAGGAGCAGAGGTTTTTGGTCTAAACCAGATCAAACCATACTCAGCGCTACCTATTCTTCCTTGGAAACAACATACCATTCCTAATACCCAAATTATTAGACTTACTCAACCACAATACACAATAAATATACAAACTAGACTTGAAGAAGCAAATATTTAATTTACCATCTATAGTTTCAAACTTTCAATACAAGCCCCTAACAATAACACAAAGCAAACGCATCGCAACAGCATGTAGATGATATGCCAATTCAACATGAACTATTCTCTCTTGAATTCAATTTTAATGAAATATTGGGCATAATCAGTAAATCTTTCACCTCCAAACAACAAATGAAATACATTAAATCCGTGTTTCGCTACTAAATCAAACGCTGAGAGAGTAAAAAAATGGAGCAGCAATCCACTGATTAGCCTTGTCCCTCATTATTTATATCAACCATGCTACACACACCACATTTCTCACCGCCTCTCTCACAAGGCGGTAGGTCTCATGTCAGAGTTAAACTCACAGATGGAAGTCGTCTTTCATTTTCCGACATTGAAGGAATACCAAACTCATGAGCTTATTATCCTAGGTTGGAACAAGTTGATAGGATCCCCCATTTTACATCCCATTGTGGAGGCAAAAAAAAGAAAAGAGAGGGATGGGTTTCTCTTGCTTTGGGCATAGCGGGCCACCAGTGGGAAGCTTGCACGACGAGCTATTAGCTTAGTGGTAGAGTGTGCCCTTGATAATTGAATCATTGTGCCCGGACTATGAGCGCTCTCAACCACATGGATAGTTATCAGTACCTAATACTAACTCTACCACAACCCTCAACTAATATCATACACAAAGCTGGGGTAGATGACTGTCCAATAGCGTTTACTATCAAAACGAAAGTGTGAAACAAACATGTGATGATGGCTGTGCACACCATAGTCCATCCATCAGAACAAGTGCCCAAGTCACACACTTTGCAAATGCCACCGCCTTGTGAGAGAGGTGGTGAGAAATGTGGTGTCTCTATCTTCCATTTTCTATTCCAATATTTCATGTTAAAGACAATTGAGCTATGATATGAGATTTCAATAAAACTGCATACAAATGGCAGATTCAATGGACTATCACAAGATTCAAAGTATATTATACACATACAATTATATAACTTTGTAATTACATAATGTGTTTCTATAGTTCCCCAATCAAAAACTTCATATACATATGTGAGTGTTTGTATATATATACACATATATACATGCATTTTCTACTAAATGTAGACGATTTACAGATCATAAACGATGAATATAGAGAGAAAATCATATATATTTCGATGAATTCAGAGAATCGAAAGATAAAAAAAGTGATGATTTTGTACTTACAGTTCGATCTTCAGAGTCGCCAAATCGAAAACCCTAGCGAGTTTGTGGAAATGATTGGGTGCGAAGAGGTGTAATGTAAGAAAAGGTTCGATATGCGAAAAGACATTTATGCCCTCAAACAATGAAGTTATTTGCCCGTGTATTTTTACCCCCGCGCACGTTAGCATTGACCATCGTTCTTATCTCTCTCTCTCTACTCTCTGTGAAGAGACCTGAAACCCATCACTTTGAGCAAAACCTCGAAGCAAATTGAGAGAGAAAGGTACGAATATCTTGATCGTTAATTTTTGTGTTTGGTTGCTGAGATATCGTAGGAAAATTGAAAGGAAAGTGTTCTATAATTCATTTCTTTTTCTCACATTTTCTCAGCAACCAAATGGAACTGTTTTTGAGTTAATTGATTGCTGAAAGAATTTGTTTTTGATTGATTTGATGGTTGTTTTTCTGTTTGGTTGCTGAGAAATCATGGAAAATCGAAAGGAAACAGTTCTACCTTTGATTTATTTTTCTCACATTTTCACAGCATCGACAGTTTTTTAGATAATTGATTTCTGAAAGAATTTGTTTTTGATTGATGTGATGGTTGTTTTTTCTATTTGGTTGCTGAGAAATCATAGAAAAATCAAAAGGAAAGAGGTCTACCTTTCTTTTCGGTTTCTCGCATTTTCTCAACAACCAAACGGGACAGTTTTTTAGGTAATTGCTTGCTGAAAGCTTTGGTTTTTGATTGATTTATCAAGGGGGAATCCATTGATCGGAGTTGGAAATGTCGACCAATGTGGATGCGGTGGGAGATCCGATCCCGACGTCGGCGGTACTGATGGCGTCAGCGAAGCACGTAGAGATCAATTGCAGAGGCGAAAACATTGCCTTCCTCAAATGCAAGAAGGACGATCCCAACCCCGAGAAATGCCTCGACAAAGGCCACCAAGTCACTCGCTGCGTCTTTGGCCTGTAAGCACATGCATACATACATACACCTTTACTTATATTTTATGTAGTGTTGATTTCATATTGTTTGCTTTTTGTGAGTTGATCAAACATTCATGTAATGATCAAACAAGTTTAGGGCTTTTTATCTAAGAATTTCATTAACAGGGACTAGGATTTCTTATGGAGGAGGAAGTAGTGAATTGAACTAGTTTTCTGAAGTTGGACATTGTGTATGTTTTTCATAAAGATGAAGAATTTTCAGGTCTAGCATTAGAATTTGACTAGATATATGGAGTTGAACTTCCTAGATATTTCACTGATTTTGAGGTGCAGTTGGAACAAGATCATTTTGCAATAATGAAGCATTGTTCTTATTGTGGTCCCATTTGGGAAGGTGGTTTTGGCTATTTTAGGCACAAAAGACAAAATAAGCTATTTAAACCACAACAAACAAAACATCACATCCAACTCATAATCATTAAACTCTTCTCTCACAAAAAAAAGCCAAAAAAGTCAAAAAGTCAAAAAGCCTTTCCTAAACCAAGCCTTTTAGCCCAGACTAAAATAGCTAAAAAAGTCAAAAAGCCAACCCACTTCCCAAACACACCATCTGCATTATTGATCAATCATGTATTAGGAGTATGAAGTGAGGATCTGAGCTTGTGAATTGTGATTACATTGTAAGGTATATAGATTTTTGTTCCTAAACTACTTTATCTAAGCCAAGCAATTTTATTTATTTATATATCTTGTGCTTTTGAAATAAACATTTCAAAATTTTCTAGGTTCCCTTTTCAATTTTGGATTATTGTACTTGCCTTTGAGAAAAAACTTCAAAAAAAAAAAAAAAAAGAAGTTGCTCCCAAAACAACATAAGTACTTTGGAAAGGCCATCCATATGGTTGCCTGAATAGATAGGGTTGTTTTCAGATTCCAGTTCTGAACTGATTCAATTTTCTTATAAATGAAAGAAATAATTAAAATGAACCCACTTTTATAACTGTAGAAATATCATGTTAGGGTAATGAATTGATGAAGACAAGAATAGTTGAGTTTGACTTGTTGGGGAGCTGAACATTTATTTTCACTCTGTTAGGGCAATGAATTATTTCTTTCATTGATGAAGACGACTTTTTTTTATAAATTGCAACTGGACCTAGCACAAATAATTTTGATTGATGCCAATTACCTGTCATGAATGTGTGCATCGTCCTGTTTTAAGCCTTATAGAAGAAGTAATTTCTGGGTCATGATTATATCAAGCCTTCTCTCAAATTTGAACACTTGTAGAATGGCTTCATCATCCTCATTGCATCCTCCCTAACCACATCCCAATAATGTTGAAAGAAAGGCATGATCATCCCATCATCAAGGCTCAAGGCTTTATCCGCATTAAGAGATTTTAAGGCCACCACACCGCCTTTCGTCCTTATTGATAATAGCAAATTCCATGCAATCCAAACATGGAAAAATCATATAGAAAGTTGCAATGCCATAATCTCATCTTATTCAGTTATCTCCGATCCCCAATCCGAATTTCGCCATTATGTTATTCTGACAATTAGAATTCACTATTCTGCGAAAACACAAGTTTTTTGATCCCCTTCTTTCAACAATAACCTGGCTTTGTGCCTCAAATTTATGTCTTCCATCTTCGCAGTTTGGTCTCAGAGACTCCGACTTCCATGTCAAATGAAAGATTTCCACTTTACTACTAGTTCTTTCCTTTCGCAACTGTGATTTTAGGCACCAAGCTTAATTGGTGAACCTTGGCCAATTGTAAGGTTGAAATTCAAATAGAATACTAGTTTAAGTTTTTCTATATTGATGGAAAGTTTTTCATAGCAATTTAGGGACTGAGTAAATGTATTTTACAATGAATTGAAACTAGTAGGCAAATTATTTTTTAACTTCCTTTTTCTCACTGTCTTTCTCTCGTGTTTTAAATGTAGTAATCCAAGTTGTTCCATTAGTTTAATAAACTTTAATGAGTCTTCTTACCAACCCTTGGTATTTTAGTTAGGGAAACACGTCTCTGTTACACTCTTAAATCTTGATCAAGATATTTGAATAATATATATTTTTCATTTTTGATAAGTAGATATCCAATTTATATATTCTCAATCCAATGCAATAGATTTCTTCACTTGTTTGGAGGGAGCTCCTGAGCTAGTGATATTTTGTTTTAGTTGTTTAGGTATCAGATCAGTGGGTTCAGTACTAAGTGGGATTGTCAAAGTCAAGGTTGCTGACTTGTGGTTTCAGCAATCAATGGTTTCCTTGCATTATTACTAGGTTAGCAAAATAATACCTACCCTCATTGACAGACCATAAGTTTAATCCTATTTGAGCCCCTAAGGCTTCAGCTACACCTATCTAACTCAACTTTCATTTAGGAGCTGCTATTACCTCTCAACATGGTCACTCTCTGAAAGAATGAAAGGATTATGGTTGAATCTAATAGCAGTATGGAAATTTGTTTGTTATATCCTTCACTTCATCTCTCATCATAACTCGGCAGAACAAATAATTTGGGATCATCCGTTGTGTTACAAAATAAAATGGCATGTGATCAAACTAGTAGGTTTCTAAGCATGTCAACATGCGTATATCTGTCTTAAGACATCAATAAGTTCTGTAAGAGTGTTTATCTCCATTCTTCTGAGGTTGATATTGTAAGGCTCAACTTTCTTCACCAAGAAGTATGCAGTGTCTTGGCCACGGACCTATGTACTGGGGGGCATTCACTCAGGACAATCTCCTGAGGGCTTTTTTATCATTCGACCATATGCTTGGCTGAGCGTGTTGACCAACTGAGGCATCCTCCATCTCTATTGCCTCAACCTCTTCATGGCACCTTAATGCAGTATAGCGCCAAAGTCCCTACCTGAGGATATCCATGACCTCCACTACATCCATCTCCCCTCTGAATTAAAGTCTCTTCACTAACAATGTATCAAGTGGGAAGGACTACCACTCCTCCTTTGCACCAGCCTTGGTATGTGCCACTAGCTGGCTTCCATTCTATTACTCTCTTAAAAATAGAATGCCTCCATCTCCTTCACCTAACAAGTAAATTTCATCCTCCTATAAGACCCTAGGAGCATGTTTGATTGACAATATTAGAGCATGGGATTGAGATTATTAATCCGTGAGCTCAATAATCCTGTTTTTGTTTTGAAATTTTGTTTTAGGATTATTAATCCAACAAATTTGTAGGATTATTAGTAATAGGGTAGGGGTGAGATTATATATCTTAAGTTGGGAAATAAAATAAAATGACTCTTTTATCTACTAATCTAATGCAAATCAAACAATTGATAAGGGGATAATTTATCCTACTAATCCAATTGGATAGTAAATACGACACTAATTTGATGAGATTATTAATACTTTCACTATTAGTCTTGTGAATCAAACATGGCCTAGCGGTTCACCCCAAAAGATTACTACTTACTACTACTACTCCTCTCTCACTCTTCCCCTCCTACTATTGCCCTGGCCCTTTGCCCATCCAATTTTCATTGATCAAGTGCCATCCTGTGTGGTTTTCTGTACTTTCTCCACTCAATCTTTTATATCCGCATGTAGTATCTTTAACAAAATCTCATCAGAGTCTGGGCTGATGTTATCTAAAGCAAGATCATGAGTTAGTATGAACTTGTTGGCTTTCCTAGCCCCACTTATTTTAATACCCACCCCTGTATGCTACTTTTATATAGAAAGGAGGGAAAAAATAAAAATAAAAAATAAAAAAATAAAAATACCAACCCATGTATGCTATATTACAAACCTTATAATTTGCTTTCATTGATCTGTTGCCATTGATAATCCTCTGGTATAAGAACATTGAGCTACCAGCTATTCTACGGCTCTAAACCTTTTAAGTTCACTTGGACTTGAATTACTGTGCTCTGACAGCTACTGGAACTTCTCATTTACTAAATGATGTTCATAATATATTTTATTCAAAAAAAAAAAAAATTAATAGATCACTTTCCAAACAAGCCGCAATCAACCAAAATACCACTACCCAAACAAATTCTAAATCAAAAGATTGATTCCCCAGCCCAGCTTCCAATCAGATAAACCTTGCACCAATCAACCTCAATATACCACCATTGTGATTCATTTTGGCCACCTTTATTTGATGAATTAGGTTAGATAAAATTGTTAGTAAGGGAATAGTTAATAAAAAGATTGTTAATGCAGAGATTGTTAATGAAGGAATTAAGTAAATGTGTGTTTATTTTAATAATAGTGGAAGAGATGGTTAGTGATGGAATTGTTTAATTGTTTTTATATAAAATAATATATATATATATATTCTTAAAGTATTATGACAAATAGTACTTTTCATGCATAATCTTTTCTTAATTCTATTCCCGTGTCCACCAACATGGCATCAAACTTGTAAGTTTTGACAAGAAAATTTTTAGCCTCTTTTAGGTTAAAATTTACAAAAAAATAAAATAAGTTAAAATAATTAATAAGATAAAAATGTCACATTAAATCCATAATCATTTCAATTTTTTTCTCACAAACATCACATCTAACTACAAAAAAAATTTAATCATCTTCCCAAACACAAAATTTAGCCTACTAAAATAACAAAAAATTAAAATAGTCTACTAAAATAGCAACTTTTCAAACACCCACTTTGTGCTTGCATTTAAACTATAGCATGATGTGCTTGTTTGGCACAACTTAAAAACAACTTAACTCAACTTTAGGCTTAAATTAAACTGTTTCTATAGGTGTTTGGTGTAACTTAATGGGTGTAGATTATAGCTTTTATAAGTGGAAAATGAGCTTTTTGGTTGAGTGAGGGAGAAGATGCTTATGTTTTCAGCTTAAGCGGCAAGTTGAATATCAAAGACTTAAATGTTCTTCACAGTTTCAAGTTATTACAACTGTACTAGGTATATAAACAAAACACACTCATTCTCTCCCTCTCACGAAAGGAGAGAGGCGCTTTCCGGTGAAGAGAAGCGATTTTCGACGACGAAAGGAGCGACGATGAGGGATCAACGCAACACATCATCCATGTCTGAGGCTTTCACCTTATAGCCCAACACAGCAACATCTCTCTCTCTTAATTGAGGGGTAAAGCCTAACCATCATGATCGATCTGAAATCCTAGCACCGCTGCAATCGCAATCTCTCTCCTTTCTCTCTCTTGCGATCGATCTGAAACCTTAGCGCCATCACGATCGCGATCTGCTCCTTCGTGATCTCTCTCTTTTCTCTCTCTCTCTCTCTTTCTCTTGTTGATCGTGGTGGCTCAGAGGGTCGTTCCGGTACTAGTGCGGTTACTGGATTTGAGCTCATCATCGGAAATCAAGTCATTTCTAGGGTTTTGACCGTCGTGGGTGAAAAATGAGAGCAGCAGCGAAGCCAAAAAAGAAAAAAGAAAAAAATAAATAAGAAAAAAGAAAGGAAATAATTGATATGTAAGAAGAGAAGAGAACAAAATAACATGAAGAAAAAGAAAAAAAAAATTAAGAGAAGAAAAGAAAAAAAAAAGAAATAAGGAAAGAAGAGAATAAAAAACAATTAAGAGAAGAAAAGAAGAGAAGAAAAAAAAAGAAAGGAGAGAAAAGAAAATAAGGAGAAAAAGAAAAGAAAGGAAAAGAAAATAAAATGAAGAAAAAGAAAAAATAATTAATAATAATAAAGAAAAGAAATATAGAAATAAATAATTAAAATGA